GAAAGAAGTAACCTACATTGCTGTTTCACTTGTGCAGCAACATCCACATTGCATAGTATGTGTGTAAGTCTAGACTGTCAACCACATATAGAAGCTGCTCTACATTGCCCTGGTTAACAACCCTACCATTCTTCCCCCTCCATCCACCCAGGCAAATAAACTTGATCATTCACTTCATGGCTGTTTGTGAGACGTTGTTGTGTGCGAATTGGCTGCCATCTACACCTACATAATACACATTTTACAGTATAGGCTTGAAGCACTTTCAGACAGCCTCCTGACGTGAAAGGCGCTAAACCAAATGTAAGGATTATTATTAACATTGGTCGGAAGGGTGACGGACACACACAGAAACCCATCACTACGTTTAAGACTCTCCAAACCAATCACTGAAAGTTTCACCTATGTCTGGTTTCTGTTTGTCTGGTATGGAGTGCGTACCGTGTTCCCGGAACGATGCACCCTGCTCACCTAATCCCCCAGAGTTTTGTTGGCAAGAGCACTTGGAATGTGAGGCCAAGCTCGAAGGTCCTGGGAGATGCGTTTCAGGAGCTATTGCTCTCTCTCATTGACTTTAAACACTGTTCACTTCATTGGAATTAATGACATGGTCACTAGTCAGTCTAGACTGTGAGCATGGGACATCCTCCTGATATATTATATATATGTATATTGTGTTTATTGCTGCATATGTACTGAAGTGGACTCACGTTCCTTGGGAGAGGGAAACAGAACTTGAAAAAGAAAGGTAAAGGAACATCACCATTTCCCCCTGCAATATAAAATTAGTAGATAGCAGGAAGATTGTGACAGACGGTGCTGACAGGAATTTATCAGTAGGTGAGAGCAAACCGTCCCTTTCAACTTCTTTCACAAGTCTCCCAGTTTACTACTTTAATAAGAGGGTAATTGAGTCGGTTTTCACACCATCGCGGCACCTGAACATGCCAAACAATGCTCACGGTGAAACGCTGAGAGGCAGCTAATGAGACAGACATTCCTTACAGCTGCTATTTATTCCTGTTAAGAGGAAATGGGCCTTTGGTTGTCTGCCTTAAGGGGAAACATCAGTGTCACTGTAATTGCAACGTAATATTGTGAAAGTGCTTCAAGTGTAAACGGCTCTATCGTAATCGTCTGTGCTGTCAGACTCAATACACAGTCACTTCACAGTAAATCCTGTAAAGCACTTTGAGATATCCCCGCAACACCAAAATGCACTATGCACTTGGGCTTCCAAAAGCTATTATTATTAATATTATTTCTTATTGGATAATCCTTGCATTTGACATTTGCGCCTTTTCAAAATGTCGCCATATCTCTGAGCATTTCACAGCATTTACCATAAAATGAACATCACATCCAACGGATGGATTCTCTCTGTTTACGGAGTCCTGAAGGGTATTGGTTAGAGTAAGCGAGAGGACCATTAATTCTGTATGGATTAGACCACTGTCACAATGGAAAGCTTTGGGAACCTCAGATCCAAAGTTGCCAAGTTCTTCCAAGCATCCTACACTTGTCATGTCTCAGATTACTCACATGCTGTATTGGCTTCCAGGCCGGAAAGAGTTAATTCTGCTTGTGCCTACTCCCACATGGTAACTCTGTTGGCTTCTGTGGGTATGGGTCAGGCAGGCAGAGAATCCACAGCCCTGGGGTTAATAAACAGTTCTTAGCCCTGAGCCTCTTACAAATCCAGGCCTGCCAGATAACATCGGCTGAAGCACATCTAATAAAAGCAGGCCAGTTACAGGGAACGGAAGTACGGATTTCAGCAGATTAGTCCCCGTTTATTAGTTCTAACATTTGTCTCGGTTTTATTAACTCTTTGAAAACTTCAAAAAAATAATGAGAGCCAGAACTCAGCAGGAGAAAGAGATCGATGCCCTTGAGTCTTCAGTAGCAGCACTCGTTCCTAAAACTGATGTGATTGTAGATTTAGATTCTAAATCAGAATGGATTGAAGTGGAGGCACACAGTGGCAAGCGCACTGGCAAATCAGGGCACTTTGCGACTTTGAACGCACGGTCTAAGTTGACCCTTCATCGCAGTGCTCCCCTGACACCCACGCTGCATCGTGAGACATGTCCTTCGGATGAGGTGCTAAGCCAAGGTCCCGTCTGTGCCTGTTCAGGTGGATGTTAAAGATCCCATGGTGCTATTTGAAAAGAGAAGGGAGTTTCTCCTGATCAATAATCCCCCATTTAAAAATAGGAAATTCCTTCTTTCCTTCATTACTGTGTGTAGGACATATTCTGTGCACAAATTGGCTGCCCCATTTGTCTACCAAATACACTTCACATTGAGTCCTGTGCAGTGTTTTGAGACGTTTCAAGGATGTGATAACCTTTCCAACGAAAGGTTTATTACATGCTTAACTATGCATTAACTATCCCTGAACTCCAACTATACTCCTGTATAGCAATCTGAGACTTAACTACGTGAAAGATGATTATGAGCAAGTTGTTACAGTGTGGTATCTCTGAGGGATGTTGTAATAATAATAATAATCCTTGCATCTGATGTAGCGCTGAATCACATCATCAAGCTGTCTCAAAGTGCTTCACAGGATACACTGTTAAGTAGATCGGCTGTCTATTTTGCAGGCGAAACAGTTTGCGCACAGCAATGACCGCAAACAATCCCCTCAAATTTTGACTTGAGGTGATTGTTGGCCAGGACACCGGGAGAGAGAGAGAGAGAGAGAGAGAGAGAGAGAGAAAAAACTCCTTTCTCTTTTCAAATCGTGCCGTGGAATCTTTAACTTGAACAAGTAGACAGGACCTTGTGGAGTGGTATCTCTGAGCAGAATCAGCAAGTTTGCAGAATATACTTTATTCTCGTTCAATGTCATTTCTATTTATAGCACTGGGAACAAGTTCCCTTTTTCACACGCCCGCAGCTCATTGTGTGGGAACGATCTCGGGTAAGCATTAGAATTATTGAGCATGGAGGATAAACCGCCCTTGATACGCACTGACTGCCAGTCACTACGCAACACGAGATTCTCACCACTGCTGCGGCTGTCACGAAACAGGCAAGGGCCGTGGCAAGGTGCTGATAGAGCCCTGGTGCTGTGGGAACGACATTGTCGGAGGTGAGAGCTGCTGGGCTGACTGTTAATCGCGTGTCATAAACCTCGCTTCCTCTCCCCAGTTTTCTCACCTCCTGGCCTGAAGGTGCTGATCGAACAAGGATGCTATTCACTGGGTGTCAGCCAGACCCACAGTACTTTGGCCAAATGGGATAGTGAAAGACTCGACCGTGCAGATCGGGTGGGGGCGGTGGGAAGTGGGGGGTGGGGGGGGGGGCCTGTTGGGGTGCGAGTGGGTAATGTGAAGAAGGTTGTGAGCGCCTCCGACAATGCAATGCAAACCCCAGCACTGGCCTGGAATACCAACCGAGACTGAGCTCAAAGCCCTGACTTTGGGCTTGAACCCACGTTAATAATAATAACAATCCTTGCATTTGATGAAGCGCCCTATCATGTCTTCGCGACGTCTCAAAGCGCTTCACAGAATATACTGTAAAGTGAGTTGACTGCATATTTGTGGGCGAAACGCGGCAGCCAATTGGGCCCAGCAACGTCCCACAAACAGCCGTGGATTGAAGTGACCAATTTCTTATTGTCTTTTTAAAAAATATTTTGGATATATTTTGTATCAACGTTGTAAGGTTTTGCTCGCTGGCGCTGGGCTTATATCTCTGTTATGTTACTGAACAGCAGAGCTTTTAGGTGCTCGAGAGCAACACCTTCTGCACTGCAAAAAGAGAGAGATTGTATCACTGCTGGTTCCCAGGCCTCCAGCACTGCTGGCAAGGTGCGATAACTTTATCATTCACACCTCACTAGCCCTGGCAAGATAAACTGTGGGAATTCCTGGTGATTTCTCAACAAGGAGTATTTATTATGGGATATTGGCATGTTCACTGTTCCCAGCTACAGTACCGGAGACGTGGGAAAAACAGCAAATGGACCAACAATAAATGCCAGTTTATTATGTACCTTTCAGCATGGATACAGGATTATTCAAGGATTGTATACAGGAAAGCATGCAGTGTCTACAGTGTGTATATACTTTCCCCTTCCCCCCACTCCCTTGCTCAGCATCCAACCCCATCCTCGTAACACACGTACCAATACGGTACATGTAGGATGTTTTGTAATTGCAAGCTGATATTGTTTGTGTACTTAATAGCCTCGAAACTCTGGATCTCTCTCCCTCTATCGCTCTGCCTTGCCCCGCTCTTTGCCCCTGAAGACTCTCCTCTTCGACCGTGCTTAAGGCTCAGTGTCGTGCTCTGCCACCGTCGAGCGCTCTGGGACGTTACCCTGCGTGAGGGGCGCTATATAAATGCAAGTTGTCAGTTATAGACGAGACAGCACCACGGGTTACAGTGTGCTATCGGCAGAACACCATGTAGGTTGAAGTGTGCAATAGACAGGACAGTCCGCAGACTGCAGTGTGTTCAATTATGATGTTTTAATTTTGCCTATTATGACATCCCCCTTTCCTGGTGGGACAGGTCTTTGCCTGTGTCATGCGGGCACTCTAGGAACACTCTGGCGAGTGAGCTGATTTGAATCACTTAGGCAACATTTGCGATCAAACCGGTAACCTTATTAAAAAGGTTAAAAACTAGATGTGAGCAGAGCAGATGGCGCAGTAGCTGGGATTGCCGGGCTATGAAGGTGGGGACATTTTTTTAATCGGAAGCCAACAGAGGCTAAGGGAAGAGATTCCATCGTTAAAGAACAGATCATGAGCCAGTTAAAATAGTGGGAAAGTAAGCAATATGTGAGTAACACATCCTGTTGCCTCTCTCACGGATGACTGTGCTGAGGACTGCTGGAGTAGAACACTGACGTAAAGCAAGTCATTACATGGGAGCTCAACGAATCAGCCTGAGCAGGTATTGGAATATTTTCAAAACCTGTAGTTGCAATGAAAGGATTCTCACACATTCACAAACATGCTAGTGCTAGTACAGATGGAGTCCTGTGGCTCAGTGGTTAGAGCGCTCGCCTGGGAAGCGAGAGACCTGGGTTCGATTCCTGTCGAGGAGAAACACTGGCAAGTTTCCTTACTCCACACACCTCTGTTAACCTCGCAGTCAGTAGGACCTGGTGGTAGGTCGATTGCTGGATCGCTTTTCCGGGGGTAATAATTCCTTCAAAAAAAATTGGTCACTCAATCCACGACTGTTTGTGGGATACTGCTGTGCGCAATTGGCTGCCGTGTATGGCCCACCAAATATACTGTCAATTCACTTGACAGAATATTCTGTGAAGCACTTTGAAACATCTCGAAGACGTGATAAGGCGCTATATCAAATGCAAGGTTTATTATTATTAGTTCCTTCTGAGCACATCACCTGTTTGCCAAAGAACTGTTAGCCTGGTCTGTCTCAGAGTGCCTGTCAGGTTAAATCTCCCACCCCCCACTGTCCCTGGTAATATACCAGGGTGGGGAGAAGAGGGTGTTTCTGTTCGCTGTGTATTGTGTCTGGAAATAATCGAATTACTTTGCAGTGGGTGATTGATAATAGAAATAATCATTGCATTTGATATAGCGCCTTATCACGTTGTTGAGACGTGTCAAAGCCCTTCACAGAATATATTGTAAAGTGGATTGACTGTGTATTTTGTGGGCGAAACGCGGCAGCCAATTGCGCACAGCAGTGTCCCACAAACAGTCGTGGATTGAGTGGCCACATATTTTACTATAATGGTCCTTAAATGGAATACCTTACCACGTTGTTGCAATGTCCTAAAGAGCTTCACAGCATTTACTGTAGTAAACGTAATGACTGTATTTTTGTAGGCGTACTTGGCAGCCAATTTATGCCCAGCAAACAGCCATGAAGGGAATGATCGATTTTATTTGGGGGATTGTGGGCCAGAATGCGAATTGATAAGCAGTTACTGAATGAGACAGTGTACAACCGATCAAGAAACACGTTTCCGCTTGAGTCGAGTGGATCTTTCCCGGACTCCTCAGGCCCTGACGCCACTCACCTTTGTCCTTTGATCCTTTGGGATCGTGCCAATCCCGGAGCCAGAAGGCAAGAGGGACAAGTGGAGCAGTTCAGCAATGGCGAAAAGGACAGGTCACACAGCACTGAAAATGATCCATACAGGAGGAAACGTGAGTTGGGATAACAAGGCAGATGGTGTCACACGCACACACACACGCACACACACACACACAGCCTAGAGGCTAAATCACTACCAGAGCTACCTTGATAGACAGAAAATGTGCATTTTAATAATGTTTTTCGCATCAAAACATCTCAAAATACTTTACAGTAGCATAATAATAACCCCTGTGTTTGAGACACTGACTGTTATGGCTACTTGTCTCAAAGTGCCTTCATTGACTTTTTCTGGGAATGTAGTGAACTGGATTTATAGGTGAACACAGCCTGCAAAAGTCCTACAAACAGCCATGAAGTAAAGAAGCAGTTTATAGGGAGGAGTGTTGGCCAGAACACCAGGAGAAACGCCCTTCAAGTGAAGTGATTGTGTATTCACAGGCAAGCGCAGCAACCATTGACCGATTTATCTGGAGGATTGTTGGCCGGGACAGGGAGAGGAAATCAACTCTCTTTTCAAATAGCGTTGTGAGATTTAGCGTCCAAATAGCATCCATCTGGACGGGCAGATGGGCCTTGTTGAGTCTCGATGTTGGAGGTTGGGAGAGGGATCTCTGATTGTGTTCCTGGAAATCAGTTACAAGAACAGAGAGAGAGAGAGAGACCTGGAGCACAACAGACAACCTGTGTCCCTCGCTCTAATGGAGAGGCATTTCATAACCTTAGGAAAGAAACGTGCTTCTTAAGGAACCACTGAGAACGAGCCCAAACCTCACTCGCTCCTGCCATTGCCGCCCTCCTCCTTATGACCGGATGCCTGTCGCATCGTCGAGACGCCTCAAAGAGTTTCACAGAATATACTGTAAAGTGAATTGACTGTGTATTTTGTGGGCGAAACCCAGCGGCCAATTGCACACAGCAAGTGTGACGAGAAACCATGGAGCACTTGCATTGAAAGCAATTGCCTTGCAGTTTATCTCTCCTTTACAGCTGTGTTACAGTACAGCATCAAAGGGCTCCTCTGTGGCAGTGCAGTTATGTAGTACTAGTTCTAAAATCCAAGCCCTCAGGCCTAATCCACCCCATTGAGTTCTAAGCCTTTCTCTTACAGGGAACCTGGGGTTAAAGGGGGATTGTTTCATGTGCAGATCCCTGTGAGTTCAGAGATGAAGTAATGGCAGAGGTTACTGATCAACAGCAGGATCTATATTCACACCCACAGCTTGAGAAATGCCACATAACTACAAAAGGGGCTTAAACTATGGGAAAGGACAGTTCAAATGTTAAGTTGCTTTGTTCCTCTCAATTGTTGCGAAGGCTTTTTCCTGTGTGTGTGTGTGTGTGTGTATGTGCCTGGTTCGACACACAGTAATTCAGGGATCCGTTAATTCCCAAAGCTGTTTCTGACACATTGAATAGACAGAACATTACTGGAGGCAGAGACAAGAGAAAGCTTTGGACTGTATCTGTTAACAAATCACCTCTGTGGCCGTGTGTGTACAGCGCTTTACAAAGTGCTAGCTGTCCTCTCTATCTCTCTCTGCTGAGCCTCTAAACCCACACTATTGATTCTGTTTAACCCCGTGAGCTCCGCGGATTCCGTGCCATTGCACCACGTAAATAAATACCCCCAAAATATTTTACAGTGTTAAGCAGTTAGCTGGCGCAATGCCAACCCAAGCACATCTCTGCCAGGTCTCATCTCATTGTCTTTCTCATCTCTTAGAGCAAGCTGGATCAGAGCCAGTCTGTAGTGAGCTTGACGATGCCAAACTCTGCCAGCCCCATTGCACTCTCATTCTCTCTCACCCCCGGCCTTTATAACACGTTGGATTGCCGCCAGGTCCCACTGAGGCCCATTCCATTGTCTTTTCTTCCATCTGCCTGTGTGCGCCTCTGGTCCTTTTCTCTCAATCTCTTCCCAGTTGGTAGTTGGTAAATGCCTGACAACCCCTCCGCTCTGCGTTTTCCCTCGCTTTCTAGCAATACGTGCCGTGACGGAGAGAGATTGCCAATTTCGTGCCAAATCATGGGCTCTGTTCATGCTGTGATATCCCACTCACTGGAACCTGAGGCCACACTGCCCTGCCCATTCCTTTGCAGGTAACAGAAAGGGAAGTGGTCTCCTATCAGCCGTGGACAAATTAAAAAGCTATCTCTGGAGTAGAAACATCAGGGTGTAATCAACTGCACTATTCAGTCTCAGAGATGATGCCAGTTTGTATAACAAACTACTCTTTACACTGCATAAATTATGTGGTGGGAACAGTAATAGACAAACATATTACTGATGATATCAAACTATAAGTCACAAGAAACAGACTGACAAAATGCTCAGATAGGTTAGAGGATTAGGTTTGCAAATTTGCAAATTCCATCTTTATACATAATACAAAGTGATGAGATTGCAGAACAAACAGTGAGAATATCAGTTAAATGGATAAGGTCTACAAGAATGATTTGCTTGGCGATGGAATCTCAGAATCCGGTGAATCCTCTGCGGAAGTCGCAGTAATCAGACAGGTCCACAGTACTCCAGAGCAGTGCTGACAAAAGAGCAAGTCACTGGAGTTAGGGATTTTTATCAGCTCCTGTTAACCCAGCAAGTCAAAGGTTGTGGGTCAAGGCTGATACTCTCTGTGGTGCTGAGGCAGAGATGCCACCCTTTGGATAAGTTGTTAAACCCGGGTCCCATCTGCCTGTTCAGTTGGACACAGTTCGACGCTATTGCAAAAGAGCAGGGAGTTCCTCCTGGAGTCCTGGCCAACAATCCTCCAGATAAATGACAAGCAATAAGTACTCTTGTCAGCATGCACTGGAGTACACTAGGATACTGTGTACCAGTGAACTAGGGCAATGTTTTGGCAATCATTGGATACTGTGTAGGCGTTCACTGGATACTATACTGGGCCCTGTATTAGCAGGCATTGGCACTGTTATTATTACTTATTTTATCAGTAAATAAAATAATAATAATTTGGTCACACAATCCACGTTTGTGGGACACTGCCGTGTGTAATTGGCTGCTGCGTTTCGCCCACAATCAATTCACTTCGCAGTAAATTCTGTGAAGCGCTTTGAGACGTCTCGATGACGTGATAAGGCGCCACATCAAGTGCAAGGATTATTATTATTATGCACTGGGGCACTGTGCTGCTGTGCATTTCGTAAACCTTTAGGCTGGATTTGGGCCGAATTCAAAGCTTCCAGAAGTGAAAGACAATGAAAGCCTCTTGAGCTACCTGAGCTGACAGATTGAGTTCATTCGAAGCCGATACCCCGATCATCACTTTGTAACTGGGAATGTTTTGCCACATTCGCAGCCCTTCACTGTCACGGAGTCTCAGGCCAGGTTGGAATGTAGGAGACGGAGTGGCGGTGGGTAATTTGGCTTCTTTTGAGAACTCTGTTAAGTGGCTGCTGTGGACTATTCGAAAAGAGAAGGGAGTTTCTCTCTAAGGGTGTCCTGGCCATCAATCCTCCAAATAAAATTGCTCATTCACTCGAGGCTGTTTGGGGCACATGGCTGCGCGCGAATTAGCTGCCACGTTCGCCCACAAATGCACAGCCGAGGTGGATTATTATTACGATGATGATAGAGTTTCCGAGCTGCAGCCTTCTAAGGGTTAACATGCATGCTTGTGTGTGGTGTTATCAAGGCCAGTGATCAGTATGTAAAGGGTAAAGTCAGGTGCAGCGAAGGTGGGAACATTATTTTCATTTCTGATCAAACGCCAAGGGCCAATGTAACTGAGCTGCAGGAACATTCCATCATTTTGACGTCTTCTTTCAGTGAAATCGGTCTATTTTTCTTTCGCCTCCCAGCCCTTTCTCTCTGACGTGAGGTGCCATCTTGGAACTCTGGTATGCTTTCAAAGCCAAGAGATAAGGTCTAATAAAAATATTTTTCTTGTTTTCTTTTGGCTCTCCGCTTGAGCCCGAAGCTTTAGAGGAACGGGAAGGGAATCACATTGTC